GGAGCTGGAGGCAGAGCTGAAGCCCAAGGCTGAGGGGCTTTCACCCAGCCCCTAGAGCCTGGCACTTTGAACTTGAACTTAAAGCCTCTAAACTGTAAGAGAATAAACTCCTGTTTGTTCAAGCCATCCCAGTTGTGGTTTATTCTTGTCAGAGCGGCACTAGGTAACCAGAACAGCAAATAAGCTAAGAAGCTGGACTTTATGAGACTGGAGGCAGACTCATTAACAAACTGTGATATGTAGGTGACACAACCATGCTTGAAGATGACTTGAAGCATTTACTGACGAAGGTTAAAGATGAAGATTAAAGACTACAGCCTTCAGTATGAATTACCCTCAACATAAATAAAAAAATCCTCACAACTGGACCAATAAGCAACATCATGATAAATGGAGAAAAAATTGAAGTTGTCAAGGACTTTTTTACTGGGATCAACAACACTAATAGAAGCCAAGAAATCAGATAATATATTACATCAGGCAAATCTCTGCAAAAGCCCTCTTTAAAGTGTTTAAAAGCAAAGATGTCACTTTGAGGATTAAGGTGAACCTGATCGAAGCCATGGTATTTCCATTACCTCACATGCATGCAAAAGCTGAATAATGAATAAGGAAGACTGAAGAATTTATACCTCTGAATTGTGGTGTTGGTGAAGAATATTGAATATACCATGGAGTGCCAGAAGAATGAACAAATCTGTCTTGGAAGAAGTATAGCCAGAATGTTTTTTTTTTGTTGTTTTTAATTTTTATTGTGATTTGAGTGAAAAGAGCAAATTCACTTTCCATATAGCAGCTCATATATACTTTGTCTCATGGCATTGACTGCAATTTCCCACAATGTAACAGCTCCCCTCCCACCTCCTCCCCATAGTTACCTCTTCTGTGTCCTTCCCTCCCATGTGCTCACACCCCCTCCCCCAGCTGTCTCCCTCTGTATACACAGCCCTTCTATTCTCCCATGATTGATCTCTCCAAGGAGTGTCCCTACCTAATGTAAATGTTCAGCTCACATGCCTTTTGGTTGGCTGGAAGTCACAGGAATGGGTTCAATTCCAGACCTGAAGGGCAACTAGAGGCCATATCTCAGGGGTTCTACCAGTCTCTGGTCCCTTTTTTTTTTTTCTTTTTAATGATTTTGAGTTTTGTTTCATATTGTTGTTCCACTTTATCCAGGATCTTCTACATAGAACCCCCTGTGAGTGGTTGACAGTGGTAGCCAAGCACCATCCAGTTCCTCTGGTCTCACAGTTGTATAGGCTGAGGATGGCATGGTGTATAGGTTGCTTGGACTAATTGTTTCCATGCATCTTTGGTTTTCTTCATTCTTCTTTGCTCTGGATGAGGAGAGACCCATTGTTACATCCAGATGGCCGCTTGCAAGCTTTTAAGATTCCAGCTGCTACTCACTAAAGTAGGAGGTAGAACAATGTTTTTGTGTGGTCTGTTATGCCAATTGAGCTTGATGTTCCCTGTGACTATGGTTCTGAACCCACAGTTCCAACTACTCACTCCCTCTGGATAGCTGGCTGTAGCCAGAAGTGACTACAGCCTTGTCCCTTGTCAGCCCTACTATATACCTGGGAATTCTTACACAACATACAAATACACTTGTAGAAACATTGTCTGCCAACCCTATACATGGTCATGGGCACATTCCCCACTGCATGAGGTTGTTGTTGTTATGTGCCATGAAGTCACACCCACTTCAGAGTGACTCTTCCTTGAGTTTCTGAGGCAGTATCACTACAGAAGTAGATTGCCCAACCTTCCTTCTGAGGAGTGGCTGGTGAGTTTGAACCACCAGCCTTTTGGTGAGCAGTCAAGTGTCTTAGGCACTGTGCTACCAGAGCTCCTTCCCTACCCCTGCATAGACACACCTAATAGTTCAGCCTGTCTGACCATCTATCCAGCCATATATCAATGTTTGCCTTCAATGACAACACAGTACTGTATGTACAAAAGGGTTCATCTTTGTTTTCTGTACCTCTCATGCACCTCTCTCTGTCTTCCTCTTCCTAATGCCACCATATTGATCACTCACACTTGGTACACTGCCTTTCTCTTCACCCCCAAATCAATACTTGTCTCTACCTATCTAACAGTGTTCCCTCCTCTCCCCTCCCACCCCTGATGACCAACAAAGAAAATTTCCCAGAATGTTCTTTAAAAGTGAGGATGGTGAAGTATCATCTTTAGACGTGTCATCAGGAGGGACCAGTCTCTGGAGAAGGACATCATGCTTAGTAAAGGAGAGGGTCAGCAAAAAAAAAAGAAAAACCTTCAATGAGATTGACACAGTGGGTTCAACAATGGGCTCAAGCATAGTAATGATTATGAGGATGGTGCAGGACTGGGCAGTGTCTCAATCTGTTTTACACAGGATTGCTATGAATCACAACCTGCTCTATGGCACCTCACGGCAATTAACAACACACCCTATCAAACGAGAGAAATAAAACAGACCCAGCACAATGTCAACAAATGGTAAATCTAGGCAAGATTATACAGGTGTTCATTGTTCTATTTGTGAGAAAAGGAGGGGAAAATGCAAAAGGGATGCAGTCTGAAAACAAAAGATGTTTAGCACAGGCACAGCATAAGATATGAAAATAAACTATCTCATATTGTTTTGAGTTTGTATATGAAAATGAATTCATAGATCACATTTATAATTAAATGTCAGAAAAAAAGGATAAAAAGCAAATGAGGAACTCCAGGAAGTTTGATTATGGAAGATAAGGTATCTGAACATTCCATAATTCATGAATGATTTAGATATATAATCAACAGAAAGATCAGTTATCTGATATATTTCCAACATTTAGCATAATTTTTTTCTCTTTTAAGAGCACCTTATAAAACTAGGGAAGCTTTAAAATTCCCTGTATCTGCTTTATTCTAGAAGGGGAAAATAGTAAATATATCTGACTTTCTCTTATGATTCCAGGGCTGGAGCATTTGGGTTAAACTGCATAAGAAGGCAAGTATGTTATAATTCTCTAAGTGTTGAAAATCTAATTGGGGCTTCCAGCTGTGATGGAATAAAAGAGAACAGATTTACTCTTCCTTCTAGAAAAGGAAGAAACTAGAAAACTGGACAAAATATATGAAATAATAGTTTTTAGACACTGGGCAACAGGTAACACAGCATAATGATCTCTGAGAACAGAAAAAGTGAGTTCTATAAGTGCATCAACTTACTATTTATAGGCCGTTGTTATACTGTACACAGAGAAACAGAGTCCAAACAGAGACCAATGATCTCTTTGATTCGAAAAGACAGAGTTTGGAGTCCAGAGAGCCCAAAGAGTCTATGATTTGGGAAAGACAAGGCAGCTGAACAAAGAGAGCATTCCAGTGATATGTAAGGTATCTCACTAAGTCTTTGGCTGGTATTGATTTGCACGTGTGTGAAGAAAAGCGCTCGTTCCCACCAGGCAGAGTATTAAAACCTCAGCGCATTAGGAAGTGTCCTCATAAGGGTTTTACAGTGTCTCTACTATGATAGTGTCTCTATCCTATACAGGAAGAAGAGAGGTCAGATAAAATATTTGAAGAATTAATGATTGATCATTTTCCAAATCTTATAAACTCATAGATCCAAGAATCTAAATGAACAAAGGAAACATGAAGGAAACCACACCAAGACACATCATAATCAAATTACCAAAAATAATAAGAAATTTTTAAAGGCAGACAAAAATGACACATCATATACAGATGAATAACTATACATATCTCATCTGAAACTATGCAAGCTAGGAGACAATGGAGCAACATTTTTAAAGTACTAAAAAAATCAACCAAATTAAAAAAAAAGGTAAATATAGAATTTTATACCCAACTATCTTATCTTTAGTAAATGCAGAAAAATTTAAGAAATTTTCAAACAAAAGCTGACAGAATTCGTCACTATTACAACCACATTATAAGAAATATTAATGGAAGTTTTTCCAGACAAAAGAAAAAACGGTATCAGAATGTAAATCTGGATCGACATAAAGGTATGAGGGGCACCATAAGTGGTGTATAGGAGGATAAATGATAAAGACTTTTCCAATTTTTAAAATTTTTAAAAATCTTTTTAATAGATAAGTGACCATGTAAAACAAAAATAACATATTTGGGGCTTGTAACATATGTAGGAAGTGTATAACAACATTATTATGAAGGATGAGAAGGCAGAAATGAAAGCATACTGTTATGAGGTTCTTTTAACATATATGAAAGTATGTAATATTAGTTAAAGGTAGGCTGCACAACCCATGAAGTAAAATTGTGTTGTATGCCATAGAATTATCAGTAGATGTCGAGGTATATTTTTAGTGTGATGTTTCAGGCTTCAATGCCTTTGCACATGCTGCTCCCAGATGAATTCCTTCACTTATGTTTTCCTTCATGTTTCAGAGACTCTACTTCCTCTAAAAATCCTCCCTTTATCCCCCGTTTATCCCCCTTTTCCCAATCAATCAGTTCTCCCTGTTCCCAGTGAAAACTGTAAATATTTTCACTAGCATATATTTTATTGTGTGTATATATATATATATATATATATATATGTTCCTATTAGTTCTCAAAAGCAAGGGCATGTCTTATTTATATCCACAGCAACTGGCACAGTGATCCTTATGAAGAACACATTCAACAAGGTCATTTATGAATTTTAGACCAAAACTTGTCTGACTCCTGCTTCTGCCTTATCAGAACACTGTATGTCATTTCCAGAATCATTTTTCACTTGTAAGCCGGTAAGAGCAGCAAGAAAGATGAGTAGTCAGGTAAACATCTATACATATACTACAGTTTTTTTGTTTTTATGTTTTTAAGATTGTATGCAATTTAGTTAATATTTTTAAGTTTCTTAAATTACAATGCACAAGTAAAACTTACTTCTGTCATTAACTCTAATGGGGCACGAATATCTTTATTAGGGTTACTGTTTTCATCATCTTCATCATTACCATCATCTTCATCATCACCATCTGTTGATTCTGACAATTTATCATTAGTGTGCTGAAGGCAATATTTGTTACTTTTCTCTTGCTTTGCAACGACTGCATTTTTGTCCACTGTACCTAAAACAGAGTAGTATAATTTAATTAATAAACATTGAAAAGTTAAAAAATTAAAAATGGCTACTCCTAAGTTATGACATAACAAATGCACATGTATTTACCCTTTGGTTTCCTGCTCTGGAGTTATTATTATTATTATTATTTTTATGACTAAAGAGCACTGCAATAAACTTACCTCATTTCTATTCCAAAAAAAGTAACAAAACTACCAAGTGACAGAGGAAAAAACCCAAACCAATAACACTGAGCTAATGTTAATCCTAATTGTTTAGTGCTTAAATTTTAATAAAGGGCAAATAGCTTTGTTTGGAAAAAAAATACAATAATTTCAAGAGAAAATAAATTAATGCTAATCTACCTCCAGAAATATATTTCCTTGGTTGATCTTATTGTTGTTTTAATTGTTAGGTGCCGTCGACTCTGACTCATAGAGATCCTCTGTACAACAGAATGAAACACTGCCTAGTCCTGTGCCAGCCTCTCAATACTTGCCATACCTGAGCCCATCATTGCAGCCACTATGTTAATCCATATCTTTGAGGGCCCTCTCCTCTTTCGTTGACCCTCCATTTTACCAAGCATAATATCTCTCTCCAGGGAATGGTCCCTTCTGACAACATGACCAAAGTAGGTCAAACGAAGTCTGGCCATCCTTGCTTCCAAGGAGCACTCCTGCTGCATTTCTTCCAGGACAGACTTGTTAGTTCTTTTGGCACTCCATGGTACTTTCAGTATTCTTTTCGAGCACCACAACTCAAAAGCATTAATTCTTCTTCAGTGTTCTTTACTCATTGTCCAACTCTCAGATGCATATGTTGTTGTTATGTGCTGTGGAGTCAGACCTGACTCATAGCGACCCCTCCTTGTGTTTCTGAGGTGGTTATCACTATGTAAGTAGATTGCCCAACCTTCCTTTCAAGGAGTGGCTGGTGGGTTTGAACCGTCAACCTTCTGGTTAACAATCCAAGTGCCTTAGGCACAGGCATATGAGGTGACTGAAAATACCATGGCTTGGGTTAGGCGAAACTTAGGCTTCAAAGAGGCATCTTTGCTCTTTAGCACTTTAAAGAGGTCTTTTGCACCACAACTGCCCGGTGCAATACGTTGTCCTATTTCTTGACTGCCACTTCCATTAGTATTGATTGTGGAACCAAGCAATATGAAATCTTTGACAACTTCAATCTTTTCTCCATTTATCATGCTGCTGTTTATTGGCCCAATTGTGAGGATTTTCTTTCTGTTGAGGTATAATCCATACTGCAGATTGTAGTCTTTAACCTTCAATAGTAAGTGCTTCAAGTCATCTTCATTTTCAACAAATAAAGTTGTGTTGTCTGCATACCGCAGGTTGTTAAGGAGTCTTCCTCCAATCCTGATGCTGCACTCTTCTTCATATAATACATCTTCCCAGATTCTTTGCTCAGCATACAGATTGAGTAAGTATGGTGAACAACCCTGACACATTCCCTTCCTCATTTTAAACCATGTAGTATCTCCTTATTCTGTTTGAATGACAGTCTCCTGGTCTGTGTACAGGTTCCTCCTGAGCACAATTAAGTGTTCTGGAATTCCCATTCTTTTCAATGTTACCCATAATTTGTTATGATCCACACAATCAAATGCTTTTACATAGTCAATACAACACAAGTAAACATCTTTCTGGTATTATCTGTTTTCTGCCAAGATTCATCTGACAGCAGCAATGATATCCCTCGTTCCATGTCCTCTTCTGAATTCAGCTTGTATTTCTGGAAGTTCTCTGTCAATATACTGCTGCAACCATGTTTTAATTAACTTCAGCAAGATTTTACTTGCATGTGGTATTAATGATATTGTTCAATAATTTCCATATTCTGTGGGATCATCTTTCTTTGGAATGATGTGGTGGTTAAGTTGTGTGTCAACTCAGCTGGGCCTGGTTGAGTGGCTGGGCAGCTGAATGTAGTAGTTATTCCCCATGCTGAGATTGGTAATTAACTCCATGGTGGAATCCATTGGAGCAGCTAAGTAGCTAGCTGCTTTGGGTATGTGGTCTGCTTCCCCTATATAAGAAACAGCTTTGAAAATGGTCTCTAGCTAATGGCACACTTGAACCCTAAATGTTGCCGTGTCATTGTTCAGCAGCCTGCCATGCTCTGCCAACCTTAAGACTTACAAGGGACTTGAATTAATGGCCTGCTGTGTGGTTTTGGTAACATGGGGACTGTGACTTTTTACTTGTCAACCTTGGGCCTGTCAGTCTCAGCAGCGAGCAGCTGTCTGAGTGAAGAAAAGCCTCTAGCTTCAGTGGGCTGGGAGCAGGAGGCAGAACTGAAGCCCAAGGTTGAGGGGCTTTCACCCAGCCCCTAGAGCCTGGCACTTTGAACTTGGACTTAAAGCCTCCAAACTCTGAGAGAATTTACAGAATTCTCTTCTGTAAGAAAATCCTATTTGTTCAAACCATCCCATTGTGGTATATTCTTGTCAGAGTGGCACTAGGTAACCAGAATAAATGGTTACAAATATAGATCTTTTACAGTCAGTTGGCCAGGCAGCTAACTTCCAAATTTCTTGCCATAGACAAGTGAGTGCCTCCAGAGTGGCATGTGTTTGTTGAAACATCTCAATGGGTATTCCATCAATTCCTGAAGCCTTGTTTTTCACCAATTCCTTCAGTGCAGCTTCAGCTTCTTTCTTCAATACCATCAGCTCTTGATCATATGCTCCTGAAATAGATGAACATCAACCAATTCTTTTTGGTACAGTGACTCTGTATTCCTTCCATCTTTTTTTGATGTTTCCTGCATCATTCAATATTTTGCCCATAGAATCTTTCAATATTGCAACTCGAAGCTTGAATTTTTTTCTTTAGTTCTTTCAGCTTGAGGAATGCTGAGTGTGTTCTTCCCTTCTGGTTTTCTAATTTCAGGTGTTTTCACATTTCATCATAATAATTGACTATGTCTTCTCGAGCTGATCTTTGAAATCTTCTGTTCAGCTCTTTTATTTTGTCATTTCTTCCATTTTCTTTAGCTATTCTCTGTTCAAGAGCAAGTTCCAGAGTCTCTTCTGACATCCATTTTGGTCTTTACTTCCTTTCCTGTCTTTTAATGACCTTTTGTTTTCTTCATGGATGATTTTCTTGATGTCATCCCACAGTTCCTCTGGTTTTCTGTCATTGGTGTTCAATGCATCAGATCCATTCTTTAGATGGACTCTAAATTCAGGAGGGTTATAATCAAGGTCATAGAAGCTCTGGTGGCATAGTGCCTAAGGCATATGACTGCTAACCAGAAGGCTGGCAGTTCAAACCCACCAGCCACTTCTCAGAAGAAAGACTGGGTAATCTACTTCCGTGGAGATACCACCTCAGAAACCCAAGAAGGGGTCACTATGAGTCAGTTTTCCCAGTGAGTTTGGTTTTGGTTTTTGGTATAATCAAGGTCGTAGTTTGGCTCTCGCAGACTTGTTTTAATATTCTTCAGCTTCAACTTGAACTTACATATGAGCAATTGATGGTCTATTCCAGTCAGCTCCTGGCCTTGTTTTGCCTGAAGATAATGAGCTTCTCCATTGCCTCTTTCCATAGATGTAGTCAATCTGATTCCTGTGTATGCCATCTGGCAAAGTCTACATGTATAGGCACCACTTATGTTGTTAAATAAAGGTATTTGCAATGAATAAGTCATTGGTCTTACAAAATTCTCTCATGTAGTCTCCAGTATCACTTCTATCACCATGGCCGTATTTTCCAACTACTAGTGATTCCTCTTTGCTTCCAACTTTGCATTCCAATCACCAGTGATAATTAATATATCTTGATTGCATGTCTGGTCAATTTCAGACTGCAGAAGTTGGTAAAAAGCTTCAATTTCCTAGTCTTTGGCTTTGGTGGTTGGTACGTAAATTTGAATAATAGTAGTATTAACTGGTCTTCCTTGTAGGCATATGGATATTATCCTATCACTGACAGCACTGTACTTCAGGATAGATCTTGAAACATTCTTTGTGATGATGAATGCCATGCCATTCCTCTTCAATTTATCATTCCCGGCATAGTAGATCATACGGTTGTCTGATTTAAAGTCACCCAAATCAGTCCATTTTAGCTCACTAATGCCTAGAATGGGAGCTCTGGTGGCATAGTGCCTAAGGCACTTGACTGCTAACCAGAAGGTTGGTGGTTCAAACCCACCAGCCACTCCCCTTAGAAGGAAGGTTGGGCAATCTACTTCTATAGAGATACTGCCTCGGAAACCCAAGGAGGGGTCACTATGAGTTGGATCTGACTCGAGGCACATAGCAACAACAACAATGCCTAGAATATCGATCTTTATGCATTTCATTTCATTTTTGACAACTTCTAATTTTCCTACATTCATACTTTGTACATTCCATGGTTTGATTATTAATGGATGTTTGCAGCTGCTGCTTCTCATTTTGAGTTGTGCCACATCAGCAAATAGAGGCCCAAAAGCTTTATTTTATCCACATCAAGGTTGACTCTACTCTGAGGAGACAGCTCTTCCCCAGTTGTATTTTGCATGCCTCCTGACCTGAGGGGCTCATCTTTTGGCACTATATCAGACAGTGTTTCAGGGCTACTCATAAAGTTTTCCAGTAATACATCAGACAGTGTTTCACTACTATTCATAAGGTTTTCCCCGGTCAATTCTTTGAGAAGTGGATGGTTCCTTCCTTCTTCCTAGTCTGTCTTAGTCTGGAAGCAACAGTGAAACATGTCCACCATGGATGATCCTGCTGGTATTTGAAATACAGGTAGCATAGCCTCCAGCCTTACAACAATACATAAGCCACCACAGTATGACAAACTGACAGACAAATGGTGGTGCACACACGTTAAGAAGAGATAAATATGAAGTATTCAGGATATAACCAGAAGTTACATAACATTTAAAAAAATTTTTTTAAATGGCAATCCACAGTACTTATGATCAAACATACATGATTTGCAAAATAAAGAACAGGTGCTACTGATCACCCATTCAGTAGCCAGCACTAGGCTGAGTCCCAGGAACACAAAAACAGACAATACCTTACCTCAGGGAACTCATTCACATGCTAACTGGGGAGTCAAAAACACAATGATTATAATAAAAAGTCATGGAAATACAGTGATAGAGATATGTACTAGGTAAATGGGAGAACCCCTTACCAGTTTGGGGAATGGTCATGAGCTGTCCAGTCTGAGTGGACCAGAGTTTCTCCAAGGAGAGGGGATAGCATGAGCCAATGCAGAAACAAGTGTCTGTGTGTGTGTGTATTATTCTAAGTACTAAGCACTTTGGTTTTGCTTAACTGCCACAGTTGGGGCTGAAATAGTGACACATATGGTTGGATAGGTAGGTACAGGGTAGCTGGAGGGTCTTGTGAGTCAGAAGTAATGGAGTTAGGACTTTATCCTCAGAATAAGAAGGATACTAATGAAATATTTTAAGCAGGGAAACACGAATGATTAAATCTGTATTTTTAAAACAACACCTGAATAATAGGTCAGAAAGCATTTTTGAGGGGGGGACAAAACTAAGGAACAAGGAGAGAAGTTAGACACTTCTTTAAAAAATCCAGATGAGAGATATTAATGTGGTAAATGACAGGAAGCAGTGGTAATAGGGATGGACAGGACTGTCTAGATTAGAGAAATATTTAAGAGGTAAAATCTCTATGGTAAAATCTATCGGAACATTTCTCAAACTTCAGTACACACTATCTTTATTCATTTTACGTATCGAAGGATCACCTATACTATTTACTTAGTATTTTCCTCTGAATCCACTTACTTTTTAAACTTACACAATTTTGTCAGATCACAAATATTATCATCCATGAAGCTGATGTATTAATAATAAACTTACTATATGCCATTATTCTTCTAAACACTTTACTTATATTAACTAATTTAAATTTCTCCATGTCCCAATGAAGTAGGACTATTTTTATTCCCATTAATAGATGAGAAAGTTTTAGGACAGAGAGATTAAATAACTTGTCCTACTTGACAGCTGGAAAAGTAGTACATCTGGAAGTCAGCTTGGCTCCAGAGTCCATATTCTTAAACACATCTGATACTATTTTTTCCTAATACACATTAAAATAAATACCCTACTATTAATTTATTTTTTCAATTACCTTATATCTGCTAAAATCATCTATTTGGGAAACACTGATCTGTCGGGTGAGCTTGCTGACTCCTTTGGCTTTACAGAGGTCTTTCACAGTTTCAAACTGAATTTATGTTATACCCACCCCTTTCTTGCAGGCTTTTGAGTGCCCAGAAAATCTTGTGAGATAGGCTTTTTGATGCAAGTGTGGCCATGAGCTACTCTAAATAATGTAGAAATACTTGTGTTAAGAAGAAGAAAATGAGGAGATCCTGGAGAGCTAGAGAGACGACAATGTGAAGAGAACAATTAAAAAAAAAAAAAAAAAATTAGAAAAACTCCGGGCTCTAAAACAAAGGGCTACCTTGATAAAGGATACGCAGTACTTCCAAGAGTAGGATTGCTGGGCTATTTCAGCCATTACCTGCTGGTTCATTTACAGTCTCCATCGGCTCACAACCACCCTAATCTTCCAGTGTGTACCCAACCTGTTCACTGACTCATCACACTTATGTCATCAAGGAAAGGTCATAATAGGGAATTAGGGAGTTCTTGTGATGGCTTGAGAACCTCCTCATGAATTTCACAAACCTAAAGTAGTCCTTTTCTCAAGAGTCCTTTACTTACTTTATAGCACCCCTCACAACCTGCAGTTATCTTGCTAACTCATCTTATTACTTATTGTTATGGATTGAATTGTGTCCCCCCAAAATCTATGTTGCAAGTCCTAACCCCTGTAGTGGTTATAATCCCCTATGGGAATGGGTTTTCTTTGTTATGTTAACAAGACAGTATTAGTATAGGTTGTGTCTTAAACCAATCTCTTTTGAGATATAAAAGAGATTGAACAAGTAAGCTAGCAAGTGGAGGTGGGGGAAGAGAGATGCCAGGCCACAGGAAGACCATCCAGGAGTGGAGGCTCAAGAGACAAGGATTAACAACAAAAAGACAAATAACTTAAATTGTAAAATAAGCAAAGGACTTGAATAGACACTTCAACAAAAAAGACACTCAAATGGCCACCAAACACATAAAAAGATACTCAGCATCATTAGCCATCAGAGAGATGCAAATCGAAACCACAATGAGACACCATTTGACTCCCAGTAAAATGGCTAAAAGGAGCTTTGGGGGTGCAATGCCTAAGGAATCTGATTGTCCAGAAGGTTGGTGGTTCAAACCCCCTAGCCACTCTGTGGAAGGAAACCTGGGCAATCTACTTCCTTGAAGATTTACTGTCTTGGAAACCCACTGGGGGTTGCTATGAGTCGGAATTGACTCAATGGCAGGGGGTTTGGTTTCTTTTCTTTTTCTTTTTTTTTTTTTTAGAATGACTAAGCTAAAAACAGAAAAAAAAACAAATGTGGGCAAGATCACCATTGCTGATAGGAATGCAAAATGGTACAGCTATTGTGGGAAACAGTGTGGCAGTTCCTCAAAAAACTAAATTAGAACTACCGTAAGACCCAGCAAGTCCACTCCTAGGTCTGTACCCAAAAAACTTGGAAGCAGAGACTCAAGCAGAGACTTGCACCAGTGTTCACTGCATTATTATTCTTATTAACCAAAAGGTGGAAACAAACTAAATGTCCAACAGATGAGTGGATAAACAAACTGTGGTAAATACATACAATGGAATACTCAGCCAGTAGGAGAAATGAAGTCTTGATACATGCTACAACATGGATGGACCTTGGAGATACTATGCTGGGTGAAATGAGTCTATCACATAATGACAAATATTTATGATTTCCCTTATATAAAAAGACAATAAAAAGCAATGTATAGAGACCAAAGTTCATTAGTGGTTATCAGGAGTATGAGGGAGGGGATATGGGGGTTAACAGGGATAGAAAAATAACATTATTTAAGAGTAGGGTTGCACAGCCAATTACTGTAACTGCTGTTAGTAAGTTGTACCCCTGTAAAAAGGTGAATTAGCAAAAGTTGTATGACAGATATATTTACAACAATGACAGAAAAAAAGAGTAGCTGCTGAAGCTGCTTATTCACAACCAAATGCCTCCTGGGATTTGGTTCACTGGTTTGAAGGTTTGGGGTCATGGTTTCATGGGACATCCCAGTTAATTGGCCTAATAATGTATTTAGTGCTTCTGTTCTACCTCCTACTTCATTGCTTAGTGCCTTGAGTCTTAAAAGCCTACAAGAGGCTATCAAAAGCTTAATAATTAGTTTCTATTAGCCTGGAACAACAGAGGAAGAAAAGCAGGACCTGGAGAAGGATATCGAATGTGTGGCTAATTGCCTCTAAGAACAATTGCTACTTTTGCCATGAGATCAGAAGAACTAATGATGCTGAGTATCTTTTTATGTGTTTGATGGTGCCTGATTACCATTACTGAACATTTTGATTAAGGATTCTATACAAGAATCCTGATCAAAAGGGGGAAAATGCAGAACAGAATTTCAAATTGTATTAGAATCCAGTCTTTCTGGAGGCTAGAAGAACCCTTGAAACCATTGCCCTGAAATATCTTTAAACCTTAAACCAAAAATATTTCCTAAAGTCTTCTTAAAACTAGACAGTAATTTAGCTTAACTAGTAAAAATGGCTCCTCAGAAGGAAGGCTGGGTAATCTACTTCCATAGTGATAATGCCTTGGAAACCCAAGGAGGGGTTGCTATGAGTCAGGTCCGACTCCATGGCACATAACAACAACAGTAAAAATTGTCTACCTTGAGTAGTACGGTGTTTTAATAATTATCTATATGGAATCAAACTAACAATATTAACTCGAAAGATTAGATAGGGACTTTAGGGAGCAGTGAGTTTACGTTAATGGGGAGAATCAACTCAGAAGAGGAGGGTGAGAATGACTGCACAACTCAAAGAACATAATCAATGTCACTGAATCGCACTTGCAGAAATGGTTGAATTGACATATATTTTTCTGTGTATGGTCTCAACAACAAAATAAATAAAATGAAAAATAAATAAATATAATAAATGTAAATTTAAAAAATGAAGTTATATTTGGAAAAATAAAGAGACAAGGCCATTCTGCCATAAATGACAGAGAGAGAAAGCTTTCCTCCAGGGCCAGCACCCTGAATTTGGACCTCTAGCCTCCCAAATGTGAGAAAATAAACTTCCATTTGTTAAAGCCATTTACTTGTAGTATTTCTGTTATAGCAGTACTGGATAACATTCATTTATTATTCATTTTTAATAGTCTGTTGTCTATCTCCTACTAGAATGGAAATTTCATAAAGGGAAGGACCTTGCCTATTCTGCCAACTACTGCATCCACAGCTTCTAAACCGCTTGTTAATGTTTTCATAGGTATTTTAATTCATTCTTTGATTTAATACCCTATCATTCTCATCTTATAGAATGTATACCATCGATCCCATACTTGGCTGCATATCAGAATCACCCAGTCCACAAATTTAAAAATTACTGATTCCCATGGCTGACTCCAGATTACAGAGTTGTCAGCATCCCTTGACATGTCATGGAGGAAGGAAGGCTGAATTAGAAGCCATAGTTACTTAATTAAATAAAACAAAAGCTATTACCTGTGCCTTCTTTTAAGAAGGAAGATGACCACAGCTTAGACTGTAGATTTTCTAATGTATCTTTATTTCCCATACTCTTCGAAGAGACTCTATTTTCAGTATTCTTTAAAGAGACTTTGTTTTCAGTATTTACTGAAGAGACTTCCTTCCTAAATGTTAAAGTACGCAGTGAGAAACAAAGTATTTCCCCAGGTCACAATTCTTTTCAATGCTTTCTATGGGTTCATAAACACACATACTTCATTCAACACACGACACATATTTAATATAAACACATAATATACCAACAATAAACGGGTAAAATGTAGTATCTTCTTTGTGGGAAAGTATTAAAAAATAATTTTTACTGATGATTAAAATTCTATTTTTACCTTAAGATTCTTAGTATCTTTTCAGAGTTTTTTACATAGAGCATATGAGCAATCAGCTGGATGACTATCTTTGGTGCATTACTGTGATAAGATGGAGTAAATATATTTAAGAAATACATGCCTTGGGTTTTTAGTTTTATTTTGTTTTGAAGTTTATAAATCAATTTCTGCCACTGCTAAATGACACACTGATGGAGAGAGTCCAACAACAATATTAACCTTTGGTCATAATATAAAATAGCCTGCTTTTTCTTTTAAGTAGCTGAAATAAAAATGGGTTAACTTTCCTTTTCAGCCTTTAAACCTCAAACCTCATGCCAATAAATAAGTAATGCACTGAGGCAAGGAGTGCTTGTGTGGTAGACTCTGTTCACAAAGACAAGCATTCAGGCTTTGTGGGAAAATAACCTCAAATTCATTTTCTGTGGTCTTAAGGATCTTTTAACATGCCTCCTTTACCAACTTTAATCAAATTCACCTTTTAGTTTGCCTGGGAAGATATGGAAAAATGTAAAGTAATATTTTTCCCAAAAAGTATGGTAGCTCCAATTTTTTTTTCCCCCCCTACTGAAATGTGAATCTAGAACATTAGCAGTTCATTAGTGGTCTTGTGCACTGGTTTAGCAAATAAGCTGAACAGCTTGTTCAATACTAAGAGGAATGAGAGTCTTCACATACACAGACATACAGAGACAGATATACACACACATCAAAACCAAAAAAAACCAAACTCACTGCTGTCGAGTCGGATCTGACTCATAGCGACCCCTCCTTGGTTTTCAGAGGCGGTATCACTACAGAAGTAGATTGCCCAATCTTCCTTCCGAGGAGTGGCTGGTGGGTTTGAACTGCCAGCCTTCTGGTTAGCAGTCAAATGCCTTAGGCACTACATATCCATCTGTATATGCTACTAAAACAAAACCCCTTTCTGGAAATAAAAAATGTACAGCAGGGATGATTTACATTTTTTCTGCCTCTGCCTCCTTCTCTTTCCCAATTGTAAAAAGAGAATCCAATAAGAAGCTGCTCTTGAGAAAAGTTGAGAAATTACTTAAGCATTTAATTTCCAGCATGGTGAAGTTCCTATATGTCACAAGTTGCCACTAGTGATGATAAGAATTTATATTCTCTAATATGTGATCCGGTAGCATAGTGCCTAAGGAGGCACTTGACTGCTAACCAGAAGGCTGGTGGTTTGAACCCACCAGCCACTCCTCAGAAGGAAGATAGGGCAATCTACTTCCATAGTGATACTGCCTCGGAAACCCAAGGAGGTGTCGCTATGAGTCAGGTCCGACTTGACGGCACACAACAACAACAACAACATGTGATCCAGATAAAAGAGAGTCTTCACATACAAAGACATACAGAGACAGACATACACACACATCAAAACCTCCGAATTAGTTATTTCACTCAGTCTAAGATTATCATCTATTTATTATAAAATATACCATTATTTTATGTACCATTAAAAAAGAAGAAACAGTGCCAAATAACATGCTATCAATTGTTGTTGCTGTTGTTGTTAGGTGCCATCAAGTTGGTTCCGACTCACAGAGACCCTATGTACAACAGAACGAAACACTGCCCAGTCCTGTGCCAGCCTCACAATCTTTACCTAAGCCCATAGTTGTAGACACTATGTCAATCCATCTCATTAATTGTAAGAAATGTTAAAATATGAAAAATACACATGATTTAGAATCCATGAAATACGATACTTACAAACTCACTACCTTATATCCTTAAGGAGTGGAACTGGCTAGAATAGTTCTGGTTATGTGAACAATTGGAAATAGCTTTAATCATTTTAATGACATAAACATTGAGAAAACCAATATAGTCAATGGCCTGAAGATAAATGGAATGTTACTACACAGAAGCAGTGAACATTCCAGAAAGATCCCTAGAAAAGAATTGACCAAATCATCATTTTAACAGTAAAATATGAATTCTCCTTCTGCCCGTTTCCTGTAGTCTTCAGAGATTCAAAATTCAATCTCCTCTTCAACTATAATCTATTGACTTCCACCTCAGAAAGTGACATTACTTATGGTAATAATGCCTCTGACTATTTAAGAAATACAGATAACCAGAATACTCTGAAAGACACAGTTCAAATTTAATTTAAATACAGTTACAATTGAGGTGTTCTAATTTTTACCGTATGTAATACTGCCTGGAAATGGAAGGTATTTAATTTATCAAGGTTAGTCAAGTTAGATATTCCACTGGAATGATTTATGCTAGAGGGTAGGTAATGTAGGTTTTAGGAATTTTCCTTAGCATGTTAAGTGCATTGGACACATTTATGAAATATCCCCAAATTTCTATTGGAATGAGTAATTCTTTCAAGAAATTTATACCTTAACCTTATTTTGAAAATGATTTCTATTTGTCAAATATGTGCCCCAAAACAAAATTAATTAAAACTTACTTTTCTGAGAATGTCTTAGCTACATTTAGAGAGACTTGTGTTGCTGGGGTATAAAGCTTGCTTGCCAATGTTGGTCTGTATCCAAAGAGGCATTTACTTAAAATGTAAAAATGGGAATAAAAAATAGCTAGTCATTCATTTTAGAAAAGAGATAAAATACATGACTATGTAATAACATATAGATATAATTGTTCCAACCTCAGTAAAACACTTGAATGCTGTGGGTTTGTTTGCTTCAGCCATTTACTCCCTTCACATCTTTAAGTATGCCTGAAAGCTTGGCTGAAAAACCTACAAAGTCTGTACTCTATACAACATTGTCCACGTTAAAGATGTATTTTATTTCTATTACTAAAAAACAGTTTTTTAATTAAATGCAATTTGTTGATGACAAATCTTCTACATATGGGATCCACAGGAGAAAAAAGGCAATAATAAACGTGGGCTTTGTGTGCACAGAAACTTGAAACTCCTGGTTTATGCAATCCACGTTCTACTTGTGGTTAAAATTAGAAAAAAGAATTAGAAGAAAATGTGTCTGAGTTTTGCCTATCCTGACCTGGATAGGGTCTTTTGGCAAATCCTCCTTGTCAGGCAGAGGAGGGAGCCAGCAGGAATGTGGGAGCATAGGAAGAAAGCTACACTGAGAAAATTCTTTGTCAATTTTGCAAGTCAGTCTCACTTTCCTCCAAGCAAGGTCCCCCAAGATTTCTATTTTCCTACTTGATCCTTTTTTTTTCCCCAGGACTGGTTTTGTTCACTTTCAAGTCCAGATGCGGTACCTCAGGTAAGATGAAGCTATACTTACCGTACTCCTCCTTCCTCAACCCAAATAACCACCCAACCCAATCAACCAAACCCAAATTCATCTTTTCAAAGGCAACATGATCATTTTTCCCTCAAAAAAAAAGCAGTATGATAAGCAGATGGAATTACTGAGGAGATAAAAAGTTATTATTCTGCTCTTTTATTTTGGCCCAGGTTACATTTGATTGATCTCTGCAATTGGACTACCTTGGGATGTGGATTACCCCTTGCTCCAGTTCCAACATGGGCTCAAGTATAGCAGGGATCGTGGAGCTGGCGCGGGATCGGGCAGTGTTTCGTTCTGCTGTGCATGGAGCTGCTATGAGTAGGAAACGACTCGACGGCACCTAACAACAACAACAACCAGTTCCAAGACTGATTATCAGTCTCTGATCATTGGGATTCATGGGCACAATATCATCACTCAGGACAAGGCCAGAGGCTGACTACAGAACAGACCATCAATTGCTGTTATGAAAGTTCAAGTTGAGGCTGAAGAAAATTGAAGCAAATCCACAGGAACCAAAGTACAGCCCTGAGAATAACTCATTTGAATGTGGAGACTATCTCAAGAATAGATTCAAGGCATTAAACACTAATGACCAGAGAACAGACAAGTTGTCAGATGACATCAAGGGCATTATATACATGAAGCAAGCAAAAGATCATTAAAAAGACAGGAAAGAAAGAAAGCATCAAAATAGATGTCAGAAGAGACTCTGAAACGTGTTATTGAAGTTAGAGTAGCTAATGCAAGTGAAGAAATGATGAAATACAAGAGCTGAACAAAAGATTTGAATAAGGTGACTCTAGAAGACAAAGTAAAGTATTATAATGAAATGTGCAAAGACCTGGAATTAGAAAACCAAACAGGAAGAACGTATTTGGCATTTCTCAAGCTGAAACAACTGAAGAAAAAGTTCAAGCCTCGAGTTGTAATAGGGAAGGTATTTCTATAGGCAAAATATTGAACACTGCAGGGAGTATCAAAAGAAATGGAAGGACTACAGTCACTGAACCAAAAAGAAATGGTTGACATTCAACCACTTCAGGAAGTAGCATAAGATTAAAAACCACAGTACTGAAGGAAGAAGTCAAGTTGTAATAAAAGCACTGGCAAAAAACAAGGTTCCAGGAATTGACAGAATACCAACTGGGATATTTCAACAAATAGATGCAATGCTGGAAGCTCTCACTTGCCTATGAGAAGAAATTCAGAAAACAGCTAACTGACCAACCGACTGGAAGAGATCCATTGTTTGTGCTCATCTCAAAGAAATGTGATCCAATGTGGAAATTTTCAAATAATATAACATAAGTAAAATTATGCTGAAGATGAATCAAACATGGTTGCAGCAATATATCAACAGGGAACTTTCAAAAATTCAAGCCAGATTCAGAGGAGGATGTGGAATAAGAGATAGCATTGCTGATGTCAGTAGGTCGTACTTCGAACAAAAACAAGGGGATACCGCATGGTTTAAAATCAGGAAAGGTATGCATCAAGTCTGTATCCTTTCACTGTATTTATTCAATCTGTATGTTGAGCAAATAATCCAAGGAATTGGACCATGTGAAGAATAACACAGAATCAGGACTGGAGGAAGACTCATTAACAACCTGTGATATTTAGATAACACAACCTTGCTTGCTGGAAGTGAAGAGGACATAAAGCATTTACTGATGAAGATCAAAGACTACAGCCTTTAGTATAGATTATACTTCAATATAAGAAAACAAAAATCCTCACAATTGAACCAATAAGCAACATCATGATAAATGGAGATAAAACTGATGTTGCAAGGATTTCATTTTACTTGGGTCCACAATCAACATCCTTGGAAGCAGCAGTCAATAAATCAAATGACATATTGCATTGGGCAAATCTGCTGTGAAAGATCTCTTTAAAGTATTAAAACGCAAAGACATCACTTTGAGCACTAAGGTGAGCTTTACCAAACCATGGTATTTTCAATCACTTCATATGCACATGAAAGCTGTACAATGAATAAGGAACATGAAAGAACTCATGTCTTTGAATTATGGTGTTGGCAAAGAATACTGAATACGCCATGTACTGCCAGAACAAAGAAATCTGTCTTGAAAGATGTTCAGCCAGAATGCTTCTTAGCACTGAGGATGGCGAGACTTCGTCTCACACTTTCAGTATGTCAATAGGAGGGACAGTCTCTGAAGGAGGACATCAGGCTTGGTAAAGCAGAGGGTCAATGAAAAAGAGGAAGACGCTCAGTGAGATGGAGTGACACAGTGGCTGCAACAATGGGCTCAAACCCAGCAACGACTATGAGGATGGCACAGGCTCAGGCAGTGTTTCATTCTATTGTAAACAGGGTTGCTCTGAGTTGGAACCAACTCAATGGCACCTAATAGTAACAACAAAGCATTTAAAAAGTAGAAGTGGACATTATCTATACCATCTACATTTTTATCAATATTCACTTTTCACTTTAAATGTCCTTCTATTTAAGTAACATTTGCTTTGCCTGAAGCAAAAAGTAAAGTTGCTAATCCATGCATTTCTGGCCTTTCAAATTTAATCAATTGACAAATGATTACATTATCTAGTTCTAATTGCTTAAAAGGCATAGATCAGCTATGCAACCAATAATCTCCTCTTACCCTGATATTGCTTCATTTGGTTCAATCATCACTTTTTCTGAAAAAGAAGAAAAAGCTTACCTCAGTATTTTATTAGTAGTGATGTTCATAATGTAAATTTCTGATAGTCAAATATTTAGGCATTTTTTGTAACATAGAAAAAATAAAATAAAGAATCTAATTACCAAACCATTCAATGTCACTCAACCATGCCCTCGGATTATCTTTTTATATTCAGAACAAAATGGTGGTCAAATATATTCTTTTTAGGTAATAAAGTACTTACCCTTTGAATCAAACACTAACAATTTGTTATACTGTGTATTTTTTGGTACCTAAAACAGAAGTAGAAATAAAAATTATTATTATTTCAGGTTGAAGTATTTGAAATCATTTATTTAGTCTGTAATCAATCCTTTTGTCTAGGCTAACATATAATTTTATACCAAAGCCAATTATTCAAAGATTATATAAATTGATGGTAAAACAAACCCAAAGCATCCTCAAATGTAGCGTACAGTAGATACTCTTACCTTTACAGCATCTATCTTGTCTGGGTAATTTCTGCTAGGAGACAAAATATTTATTTCATAAATTTCTAAATACTTGTACAAATTCAAAATATAAACATAACAAAACGTAGAACTCAGTTTAACAGTAGGGTATTAAGTATTTTGTCTTATACTTAGTAGCATTATAGTTCAAACCCACCAGCCACTCCTTGGAAGGAAGATGCAATCCACTCTGCAGAGACACCACCTCAGAAACCCAAGGAGGGGTTGCTAGAGTCGAATCGGCTTGATGGCAGGTTTTTTTTTTTTAAGCATTATTTCCATCCTAATAGTAAAGTCAGGAGCTCTGGTAGCATAGTGGCTAAGGCACTTGACTGCTAACCAGAAGGCTGGCGGTTCAAACCCACCAGCCACTCCTCAGAAGGAAGGTTGGGCAATCCTACTTCCGTAGTGATACTGCCTCGGAAACCCAAGGAGAGGTCGCATGAGTCAGGGCTGACTTGATGGCACATAACAACAACAACAACAACAACAACAATCGTAAAGTCATTATTCTGGGTTATAAAATTAGTTTAAAACATATCTAAAGAAATTAACCCTTCCTATTCTCCCTTAGGGAGCTCTGGTAGCATAGTGGCTAAGACACTTGCCTGCTAACCAGACGGCTGGCGGTTCAAACCCACCAGCCACTCCTCGGAAGGAAGGTTGGGCAATCCTACTTCCGTAGTGATATTGCCTCAGAAACCCAAGGAGGGGTCGCTATGAGTCGGGGCCAACTCGACGGCACATAACAACAACAACAACAATTCTCCCTTAAGGAGCCCTGGTAGCACAGTGGTTAAAGCGCTTGACTGTTGACTGAAAGGCTGGCAGTTTGAACCCACCAGCTGCTCTGCAGGAAAAAGATGTGGTTGGCTTCCCTAAAGATTTACAGCCTTGAAAACCCTTCAGGCAGTTCTACTCTGTCCTCTAGGGTGTTAAGAGTCAGAATCAACCAACAATCAACAATCTAGATTGTTTACATATTAAGTATAGAAGAGGCCACATTAGAATTTTTCATAAATAACAACCCACTTGCTCCCCTCTCTAACACCTGTCTCCATATCTCAAGCCAGACTTTAAAAATTACTATTATACACACCCAGGAATTTCTGGAATAACAAATTCAGGGCCCAGACTCTGGACAGTAAAGAAAAACTTCATTATTTTGTATTAAGTGTTTCTCATTTGAAATCTTTCTCCCTTGTACTCTTTTAAATTATCCCTGATAATTAAGCCATCCCACCTGCAGATTAGGCCCAGGTCATATGGAATCACTTACACTCCCAAATAAAGCAGCAGTACCCCAACTTTGGCCTCAGGCTTTTGTTTCTGGGGAAACCAAAGCAACTCTAATCAAACAAGATATTATACCCAAATCCAAATCCATGGCAACTGAGTTGATTCCAATTCATAGCAACTCTGTAGGACAGAGCAGAATTGCTCCATAGGATTTCCAAGGCTGTAAATCTTTAGGGAAGCAGACTTCCTTATCTTTCTCCCACAGAGCAGCTGGTGGATTCAAACTGCCAACCTTCTGATCAGCAGTCAAATGCTTTAACCACTACACCACCAGAGCTCCTGAGCAAGACATTATATATGTTATTAATTCAATTATCCCCCTGAGAAGCATACAGAAAGCTAAAGTCTATCGATGCAAGGCATCTCATTAGGAAAAACAATTGTGAAAGACCAAACTGTAGGGTAAGTGAGAAATTTTACTCCTAATTCTCAAAGTCAGTAGAGCTCTGAAACTAAAACAATGCAAAAACTAAGACCTGACAAAAGAAATCTAAGATGATTTTTCCTGAGACTTTATTTCACTGCACAGATTTTGGCAATTCTGTGGGTACCTGAATTTCTGAGCAGAGCATATTTAGAGTCCTTCTCCCTTTTCTGGCTCTAGAATCTCCATGGATTGCTACATTCACTCTTTACTTGGATGAAGCACCAGTGCACATAATTCTCCTCCCATTTTCTCCTGGTGAAAGGAAAACCTGGGATGGGCCTATCACAGCCCTTGATGGAGATCCAGGCTCTGCTGAGTTTGGCTTTATCGTTTCTCAGGAAATGTCTATTTAATCTCCTTGCATGAAACGGAATCCTTTGGGAGGCAGTAAAGGAGTTCAGGTGGTGCAATGGTGGTAGGCAGTACAGAGTAACACTTAAGAACTGGGGCTCCTGAGTGAAAAAGACTGGATTCACATCCCTGTTCTGCCACTTCCCATGTGAGACTGTGCAGATTACTTCTTTAAGCCTCAATTTCTCCATCTGTAAAATGGGGGTCACAGTGATGCCTACCTCACCGGATTGTTAAAAAGATTAAGTGGGATACTCTGGGTAAAGCATTTAACAAATCACCTGGCATGTACGATGGAAACTGCAGAAAGAAAGGGCTCAATGTTTTCTCCAAAGGAAAAGTAGGATGATGTCCTGTGGGGCTGATTAAGATTGCTTAGGGAAGCAAAAATTAAGCTTGACTGTGATAGAGACAAGTGGACTAGCTCTGAGGGCTTTTGATTAATGAATTAATTTTAAAACCACCTAAGCCCTGTACAAGGGCTCCAGGAATTGACAGAATATCCATTAAGATGTTTTAACAAACAGAGGTACTCACTTGGTTACGCCAAGAGATCTGGAAGACAGCTACCTGGCCAACCAACTGGAAGATCTAGATCCGTACTTGTACCCATTCCAAAGAGAGGTGATCCCACAGAATGTGGAAATTATCAAACACTATCATTAATATCGCACGCAAATAAAATCTTACTGAAGATAATTCAAAAACGGTTGCAGCAGTGTATTGAGAGAGAACTTCTAGAAGTGCAGGCTAGATTCAGAAGAGGATGTGGAATAAGGGATATATATCATTTCTGATGTCAGATGGATCTTGGCTCAAAGCAAAGAATACCAGAAATATGTTTACTTGTGTTTTATTGACTATGCAAAAGCATTTGATTGTGTGGATCATAACAACTTGTGGATAACATTGAGAAGAATGGGATTCCAGAACACTTGATTGTACTCATGAGGAACCTGTACATAGATTAGGAGGCTGTCATTCAAACAGAACAAGGGAGTGCATCAGGGTTGTATCCTCTCACCACACTTATTCAATCTATATACTGAGCAAATAATCTGAGAAGCTGGACTATATGAAGAAGAACATTGCATCAGGATCGGAGGAAGGCTCATTAACAACCTGTGATATGCTGACGACACAACTTTGCTTGCTGAAAGTGAGGATGACTTGAAGTACTTACCGATGAAGACTGAAGACTACAGTCCGCAGTATGGATTACATCTCAATATAAAGAAAACAAAAAATTCTCACAACTGGACCTGTAAGCGGCATCACAATGAATGGAGAAAAGATTGAAGTTGTTAAAGACTTCACATTGCTTGGTTTTACAATCGACACCAATGGAAGCAGCAGTCAGGACATCAGACGAAGTATAGCATTGGGCAAGTCAGCTGTAAAGGACCTCTTTCAAGTTCTGAGGAGCAAAGATGTCTCCTTGAGGACTAAGGTGTGCCTGACAAAAACCATGATATTTTCAATCGCCTCATATGCATGTGAGAGCTGGACAATGAATAAGGAAGACTGAAGAAGAGTTGATGCTTCTGAGATGTGGTGCTGGCAAAGAATGCTGAAAGTACCATGGACTGCTAAAAGAACTAACAAACCTGTCCTGGAGGAAGTGCAGCCAGATGCTCCTTGAAAGCAAGAATATCCAGGCTTCATCTCACCTACTCTGGTCTTGTTGTCAGAGGGGACCATTCCCTGGAGAAGGATGTCATGCTTAGTAAGGTGGAGGATCAACGAAGGAGGGGAAGGCCCTCAACAAGATGAATTGACACAGTGGCTGCCATGATGGGCTCAAGTATAGCAGGGATCGTGGAGCTGGCGCAGGACCGGGAGGCATTTCGTTCTGTTGTGCATAAGGATTGCTAAGAGTTGGAGATGACTTGGTGGCACCTAGCAACAACAACAACAATGTGCTTTCTAAGCACATTTCAGTGTTAAAGTACTGAAATGTGCTTAGAAAGATCACTGATTCCAGGGGAAAAGAAGAGTTAATTTAGAACACAAGTTAAAGAAAAGACCAATCAGCTAAGCAGAATGAGGTACACCCACTATATATATAACATACATTTTTAAAATACTATCAATATGAAAAAAAAAATCTCTGAAAACACTTTCAGAAATAATATTGGTAAAATTATTGGCAATATCCAGATAATACTGGGGAGGGAAAAGGGATGGCAATAGGACTGGGGATAGCTCCCTACAAATAGTTTGCACCTGAACCCACCCGGAAGAAAAGCCTGGCCATCTGCTTCTGTAAAGACTACAGCCAAGAAAACCCCAACGAGTCCTACTCTGTAATCCATGGGGATGTCATGAGTCAGAATCCACCTGACAGCAAATGGTTACGTTTTTTGGTTTAAAGGCCAAATACGAGATTATCATAATTACTGCTCCTTTTCTTCCTCCCTCCTTTCC